AAAAAAAAAAAAAAGATAAAGAGCAGAGATTATTCTATATTCAGCGTATCGTATACACTGTTATACTGTGAAATTTATTGAAATAAATAAATGTAATTATTTACAACGGGGCTTTCATTTTTCCGAAATTGTGAGAGAGAATAATGGAAACGGCGGAAGTTAGTACGATCAGATCGTATTACTCCAATTCGTGAATTATAATAATGCGATTGATATCTTTTACGTAATATGAGAAGAACTCACCCTCACGATTTCTCGTCCATTTTGTACTCACACAAGCAAAAATTTAAACTCTCTAAACTGCGGATGGGATTTCAAAACGGACAAAAATTAAATCTCTAATTAATCGGCTTCGTTAATGAAAACTTGATTTATGGACCTAGAGACACTGGCGCCGCGTAGCGGTGACAAGATGGAACTAATCTCTGCCATAAAACCGAAGAACCAAATTCCTTAATCTATAAATTGAATTTTTGAACTTCGTGGGAAATAAATTAAAGCTTCAATCTTCAAAATCTGAATAATATTATGTGATTTTCTACTGTAATGTTTTATATTAATTATTTTAAAGTTTCAAAATAATACCAATAGTTTTATCTTTCCACCGTCAGACGGCGACAAAGCTTCTGTACCGACAAAGCAAAGAAATTATCATTTGCGAAAAAACCAATTTACGGGATTAATTTTTAAGTTTCCTCAATTGTATTTCCTTAATTAGATGCTTAGCTTTCATTCAATACCGTACTCGATTCGTAGAAAAATTTATTTAAATATTCTACAACTTTTTAGTACCTATAGTTCACCGATAGATGGCGACACCATGTCCGATATGTTACTCTATATTAATTTGCCTATAATTGATTAATTATGAAAAGAAATCAAAAAAATAATATCGTACGGAAGAAGTTTCTGAGGTTCAAAACTTCAATTTAATTTCCATGCAGTTCAAAAATTTAAAGTTAGGAAGTCGAAAGATTTGATTTTATAAGGATTAGTTCCACGTTCCCACCGCTACGTGACGCTAGGTCCATAAATCGATCAAACTGTTATCTGCCAAAAAAAACGATTTAGAGAATTAATTTATAAACTTTTTTAATTGTATCTTTTTATTTAGAATCTCAGCGTCCTTTTGATACTCCACTTGACTTGTAAGAGAATTTATTTAAATATTTTTAAATATTTTAGTACCGAGTTGAACAATAGATGGCGTCACCAAGCCCGAAATTGTAGTGACGCGATTATTTAAAAAAGCGAGTTTAACGGCGATGCTGATTTAAAATGAAGAAAGCAGAAAATATAATATAATATAAAATATTATAAAATATATTTTATATCATATTATAAAATATATTTTATTAATAAATATAATTATAAAATATAAAATATTTTGTTCTCAGTTGTTAACAATCAATCAAAGCAAACCGTCGTTGTAAAATCTTGTTTAACATTAATATTAATAAATGGTTATTGTTATAATTTCTTGTTAAATCTCGCAACATACTTATTTAAAAGAGTAAACCTCCATAAAATAGGATACTCTTTATTAATTTGCATATAATTAATAAATTACAAAGGAAATTGAAATAATATCATACAAAAAAATATTTCTATAATTTAAAGCTATAATTTATTTTCCATACAGTTGAAAGATTTGGCGTACAGACTAATAAATTTGATTTTTAACTTAAACGTAAAGGATTAAAGTTCCATCTTTTCACCCTTAAATGATTATAACGTTTTAATATTTGCAATGACTTCCGGTTTCCGGTTTCCGGTTAAATTTCCATTCAGAAAAAGTGAGAAATTTGTGTTTATTACTGAATTACTGTATTATACTTGTGTATACTTATCGCTGTATTTTTAAATTTTATATAATATAAAAATACTAAATCGTTCTCAGACTTTAAGTTGACTCTAAATATAATACAATTAACAAATTATTCATTAATAATTAATAATTATTTTTATATGGTTATTTATGCACTTTTAACGAAATACAACAATAAAAAAAATCTGCAGACCGCGTAAAATACAGAAAAATATATAAAACGTCTAAAGTAGAGTATTCAGTATGATATTTAATACTAAATAAATTTATATTTCAATTTCTCTTCTTTAGTGTTGTTCACAAATATCTACAATTGTAGAAATATCTGCAATCTTCTTATAAATAAATGAAATTTTCATTGATATAAAAGATCACTTTTTGCTAAAATAAATATGTTTTAGATCCTCATCTGAATTTTTGCATTTGATTATCCATTACGAGAATGATCGGCTGCAAGGTGTGACATTAATAACACTATAACGACGTTACTATAGCATCGTGTAATATTCAGCGATTAGTAGCTACTGAATTAATAAATGAATTAGAATAACTTTTCATAGACGTGTATTCGTTCATATTCATTTATTTATACTTCTTACAGAGTCATTATTATCGATCGTTACTTTATACAAAAATCACTATACTTTATGCAAAGGTGACATTTCACTAATTCTCGATAAAATTTGCCTGTGGCGAAGATTACTACCGAAAGTAGTACCGATCGTTACAGCCGTTAAAAATGGCAAATTTGATTTCTATCTGTCTAGCCGTCACTCTTTTATATCTGAAAGTCATTTCATACACGAACAAGCGGCACGTGAATTTTCAAGATTTTTAACACAGTAACACTATTAAAGAAGTAGAATTTTAAATGAAAATTTTAATTTATTTTCTCGACTGCACGGCTGCGATGTAAATACTCTACTTTTTGAATACTTCGCTTGTTTCTCGCGTGTTGCACGTATCGTTTCTCATTTCTCTAAATTCCAGTTCCTCGCGTAAGTGCATCAAAATCCCGCGGACGCACACTAACAACAATTATTTCGAAAATTTCGCGCGGTCCGGTAGCTTCGGTTGGTTCGCATGCGCGGTCGCTT